AATTACTAATCTGATTGAAACTAAAATTATATTAATTAATCAGTTTTTGTCAATAAAATTAACTAATAAAATAAATTTTAGATCAAAATGCGTAAGAAAGTATAAGATAGTTTATGCTCATTGAAAAAAAACAAATCATTTTTTTTTAAAGTATATCATGTCATGTTAACTTTGATTTTCATTTTCTCTTCTAACCTATTGCAACAATATCACATTGCCCTCGTAAGCAAGATGTTCTTGAAACAAGTGCGTGACATTTTTCGACTATGTGAGACTTAATTTATTATTAGATAATACCAATATTTTGAAAATCGATCAGGTTATCGACCCGAAAAAGGTGAAAGATCAAAGTCAAAAGCTTCAATCGGGGTCGAACCGGATGCAATAAATATATACAAAAATAATAAAATAATATGAAAACAATAATTTTTTTTTATTTTTCATATTAATAATTTGTTGACATTTTTATTATACCACTATCCCACATTGAAAGTTTATAAAATCATTGGAAAGAAGTGAATCTATGAAATGCACTATCCCAATTTGGAAGTTTATAAAATCATTTGAGAGATGTGTATCTATAAAAAGAGCATTCATCCAATATTTTTCTATGGGCCTTTGAATTGTTGTTTATGAGGCTCATTTATAAAGTTGAAAATTTTTAAAATTTAAACAAAAAAATTGGGAAAATCACAAAATCACGACTGGTTCACCGGTTTAGGTTAAATTGATCGGTTCGGTGGGTTTTTAAGCGGTTAACTAGACATAACTGACCCGATTTTGGGCCCGATTCCCAGTTTTGCCAATTGAGCCGACCGGGCCAGGTCGATTTGATAATATTGGATAATACCGTTATTCGGCGTACGTATTTTAATTGACGTAACTTGGAAAACAGCACTATATATTTTGGGCCACTTGGAAATATATGATCCCTTGTAATTGGAGCTTATGTGAAAATGGAAAGAGGAGAACATAAGTGGGGATTCATTATTTCATCATTGATAACATTCACTCAAAATCACAATTTCTAATTATTTATTCCTTTCCAGTTTCCACTAATTTTGCACTAAACAAAATGCTTCTACACGTGGTCGCAATTAAAGTGACATCTAAACACCTATTGTAGTCTATTTTTGTAGGCCCAAACTGTTAGCCCATCAGTGGACCCCAAACATCGAGCTCAATATCCGACCCGCTTTGAAGACCCACCACATAACCCCCGAGAGTCTCAAAACACTTTCATAATCAATTATAATAAAACAAAATTGTAATAATAAAATATATATATATATATATATATGGATTTCCCTTTTCATACCATGAATAAATAACGATACTTGGACGCTACACAACACGACATTACAAAGCCAAAGTCTTTGACTCGACCCAAAAATTACATTAATTTAAAAAAAATTAATTCCTTAAATAAATCAAATTATATCTTGTGGAAATTGGGAATCATGGCTACGCCTCTTAGTCTTTGATTGTGCTAATATTAAATAATCCCCAAACTATTGAAATCCAAAATGTCATTTTCTTCCATACATGGCAAAGTTTTAATAAAAGTTTGTGTGGTTGAAATGTGTATATTCCATGAAATGTGATTAAAATTGAACTTTGACGAGTTAAAAAATTGTAAATTTTTATTAATGAACACTAAATATTAGTTCACGAAATGATATTCATATTTTCAACTTTTGTAATGTACGAGGAATCGAATATTCATAAAATTATTATCAAGAAAATGTTTAAGATCTTGTTTTAGGCTAATTACATCTAATTAGCCACGAGGATTGTGTATGGCCTGCCCATGTGAAAATAATTAGGTTTGAAAATTCTTGTATCTACATCATTACAAAATAAATATTCAAGATTACTATGTGATTTTTACAATCCAAATATTACTTTGTGATATGGTTAATATATTGGAAAATACTATATATCCAATTTAGACTCCATATATTCTTTGTAATTGAAATTAATTTTTTAATTATCCTAAAATTAAGTTGGTCATTTATTGCTTTTTCTAAACCATTTAAAAATTAAAAAGCAAAAAAGAAGAAGAATAAAGCTGTAGAACCTGGGATTAAATCCCGGTTCCAATCCCGGGGCTGAGGTGGGCGGGCCCCATGAATTAAAGATCAAGGGTCGAGGTGATTGTACCTCGGCCCTGGAGCCAATCTCGGGTTTTAAACTTGGGATCTGAAGCATCTCAAAAAAGAAAGAAAGAAAAAACTTCATTGGCCAAACTGCAACAAATACTTTTTGGGAAAAGGGAAAAAAAAAAAAAAACAAGCATCATTCTCTT